GCGATGTCATCCGTGGGCTAAGTACATTGTGACCTGGGGCAGTCCTTACAAGATTGGCATCAGCAGTGATGTCATGTATGGGCTATGGATCCGTGGCGACCTAGGGCAAGGCTGACCGTGGTGGTGACAGCAATGCTGTGCAAGATCAGCCGAGGATGGATCTATGACCACGGTCGTGGCAGCAGTGTTGTGTAAGATCCGCTGAAATTGGATCGCTGGTGACCAGGGCAATGCTGACCAGGGTACAGGTGACCTTGGCAGCGCTGACCGTGGTGGCGACAGCAGGGTGGTGACAGCAATGCTGTGCAAGCTCAGCTGAGGATGGATCGCTGCTGACCTGGGCAGTGCTGACTATTGGGACGACAGCAATGCTGTGTAAGTTCAGCTGAGAATGGATCGCTGCTGACCTGGGCAATGCTGATCGTTATGACGACAGCATGCTGTGCAAGTTCAGCTGAGGATGGACCGCTGGTGACCAGGGCAACGCTGACCATGGTGGCGACAGCAAGGTGGTGACAGCAGTGATGTACAAGATCAGGTAAAGAAGGATGATGGATCAGCACGCAAATGTGACCTTGATGGCGACAGCATGGTGGTGACAGCGCTGCTGTACAAGGTCAGTTGAGTATGGATCGCTGGTGACCTGGGCAATGCTGATCACTGTGATGACAGCAAGGTGGGGACAGCAGCGCTGCGCAAGATCAGATGAGGACGGATTGCTGGCGATATTGTCAACGCTGGTCGTGATGGCGACAGCATGGTGGTGACAACCGTGCAGTGCAAGATCAGCTGAGGATCAGCGCTGTGTCTGATCAGCTGAGGATGGATCGCTGACGACCTGGGCGACGCTAACCACAACGCGACAGCATTGTGACAACCGTGCAGTGCAAGATCAGCTGAGGGTCAGTGGTGTGTCTGATCAGCTGAGGATGGATCGCTGGCGATCTGGGCGATGCTCACCACGGTGGCGACAGCATGGCGGTGACAGCAATTCCGGGCAAGATCAGCCGAGGATGGATCGCCGGCGACCTGGGCAATACCGACAGGTGACCTGGGGCAGTGTTGACTTGATGGCAGCGGCATGGCCGTGCGGCATCAGCAGAGGAATGTGCGTCAGACTCAATCCTCAGATGGTGATTTTGCGAGCATCCTTGTCGATGGGTCCGTGGTGACCTGGAGCCAAGGTGCCTACGGGGACAACAGCATTGCTGGGCAAGATCAGCTGAGGAATGCGCAGTGGATTCAGGACGTTGGTGTCGCTTTTGCTGCCATCCTCTTGCGATGGATCTGCGGCAACCTGAGATGGATGTGTGGCGACCTGGGGCAATGATGATCTGACAGCAGTGCCGTGCATGATTGGTGGAGGGCTGCGCAGCAGACTTGATCCTCTCTAGCCGATTTTTGCTACCATCCTTGGCGATGGGTTTGTGGTCCCCTGGGCAGTCCTTACAGGGGTGGCGACAGCAGTGCTATGCAAGTTCGGCTTAGGAATGCGCATTGGTCTCGCACCTCGTTGCTGACACTGTAAGCACCATTGCTCCACATCACCACGGATGCAAGGAGTGAATCAGCTGCGCATTCCTCAGCTGCCACTGCACCTCATTGCTGCTGCCACCATAAGCACCATGTTTCCAGGTCACCACAGATCCATCGTCAAGGGTTATCGCAAGAACACTGCAGCCGATCTTGTGCAACACTGCTGTCGCCATCATAATGATCATCATCACCATAGATGGCAACATCAATAAAAGACAGGAAGTCTGGCAGCAGATCCACGGATGGATAGCCGGCGTCCCCAAACGAAATCTGCTTGTAGCCCTAGGAGACTTTAATGCCTCGCTAGCCCCACAACATCCTCATATAGGCCAGGGAGTGGGACACGTTCACGTTCACAAGAAAGATGGCCATGCTCTGCAATCGTTAATTCAAACTGCCGGGCTGAATGCTGTCAACACTTGGCAGAAGGGTGGACAACAAGCTTCTACTTTTTGGACACACAAAGGTGAGGGGTCTCAAATTGATTACATCTTGGTTAGAAACCTGTGCTCCCTATCACAGCTTCGGCCAGGTACCTTGCCCCATGCTCCAATTGTACACCCCACAGGCTTTAGACATGTACCTGTGCAGTGCCAGCTGCGGTGGCCAAAGCCTCCTCACACGACACCCACAAGTCAAGTGACGGCTCAGCATGTACGCCGTGTTTGTGCACAGCTTCCGCAGGTGATGGATCAATTCAAGGAGAAAATCCAACCCCTGCAATGCTCGGCTGAGCAACTGGATGTCAAACTTCAGGAGGTGTGGCAAAAATGCAGCCCAGCTAAGCCCATTTTGCCCATACAACCTGATAACAATGCCATATGTTGAAAGAACTTTTGGGCCTGAAAGCGTAGACTCCAGCAAGTGTCTGCTCTTTCAGTTGAAACCCCCTTATCGATATGTGTAGTTGATTCGACATCGCTGCAGAATTCACTCGCATCGACCCGCTCGAGCTTGCAACACCTCCTGGCATGTTGGCGAGCAGTTGCCTCCTTTCAACGCCTCAACCTTGCCTTGCGCATGCGCAGTCAGCAAGCCCGCTCTGACAAACTGGAAGCTCAGATCCAAGAAGCTTTGGAGGCGGACAGCAAGGGCCTCACTCATGTTTACAAGTGTATGAATCTTATGCGTCCCAAGCAGCCCAAAAGAACTATTCACATTAAGTCTTCAGAAGGGCGGCTACAGAGCAATGCGTCCGAGCTAAACACCATCACCACATACTTCAGCCAGATCTTTGACAGTGCTGAGCCACCTGTGCTTCCGCAATGGCACCTCCAGTCTCCTTTAGACATCTCCAAGGCAGAGCTCCGCCAAGCCATTGGCAGTCTCTCAAGTAAAAAGGCTCTCCCAAGATTTCGAGCTCCGGCTGCTTTGTGGAAAGCGGGGGAGGAGATAATCGTTGATATACTGCACTCTGACTTCCAAGAGCGCTTTGCTCCAGGAGAAATTCGGATGCCGGATGATTGGCTGACTTCGTATGTTGCTTTGATCCCCAAGCCTGGGAAGCCACCACACTCTCCAGCCAATCTGCGGCCCATAAGCATCCTACCGGCTATACCGAAACTACTTGCCCGCATCGCGGCTCAGCGTCTGCGACCTTATCTCCTTCAAGCGATTGAACATGTCCCTCAATTTGCTTACATCCAGAATAGGCAAACCTCTGACTCCCTTGATAGGGTCATTTCACACTGTCGGCAAGTGAGGTCCGGAGTGGCAGCCAACAGATTTAATCCTTTCAGGCCTCATCAGAGTAGGGCACGCTTTACGGGTGGTATGCAACTGTCCTTGGACTTGGCAAAGGCTTTTGACAAGATGCCTCGCCACTGCCTTCTCACTTCTTTGGAGCGCATCTCTTTGCCTGAAGACCTCATCTCGCTAATCTTGTATATTCACGACAATGCTATGATGAGCTTTTCTAAGGGTACGGAATCATCCACTATACGAACTGGAAGTGGCATACGCCAAGGGTGTGGATTGGCTCCACTGCTATGGGAAGGATTCACGTTGCTGCTGTTTGATAGGTTCACACACTACATGCCATTGCATCAAATTACAGGTTTTGCTGATGACCTGCATATGCATTGGACCTTTGCTGAGCCTAGGCATTTCCGCAATGCGTGTGTGCAGGTTGGCTTCATACTAACAGATCTGGCAGAAATGGGAATGCAGGTCTCTACCGACAAGACTGTCATATTGCTTTCTTTGGCTGGGCCTGCGTATGATAAGGTAACGGCTCCCTTCGTTCAAAAAAGGCGCAAAGATCGGTATCTTCAAGTAACTACCAAGCAAGGTCCGGTTCAGCTTCCAATCAGAACTTCGCACCTGTACCTTGGGGTTAAGATCAGTTATCAGCATTTTGAGCGGCTCACTATGCAATATCGACTTCAACAGTCTTGGACCGCTTTCCACCGGCTGTCTCGTTTCCTCTGCTCGAAGCAGTTCTCTCTTCAGCAGCGGCTGCGTCTGTGGAAGACGTGTGTGCAATCAATCGCAAGATATGGATTGGCTGGGGTTGGCTTAGATGAAATCAGTGCAGCCAAGTATAGGTCCCATACTGTCCGTCAGTTAAGACGTATATCCGGTAGCATAGCACACCTCACTCATGAATCCAATCTTGATCTGCTAGCACGTCTGCGAGTGCCTGATCCTGTTGCGACCTTGTGTGACATCATTGCAGTTAGGGTGAAGAAGGCTAGGCAACATCTATCGCACATGCATAGCGCCACAGTCGATCAATGGCTCACTCTTCTCTTGAGTGAGAGAGCGAAATCCGTCTACAGTGCAGCGAGGGGAATTGACTGAAGTCACACAGGTTGCTCGTATTGCATGCAGCTGCGACACGTGCGGTCAGCAGTTTGCCAGTTTTCATGCTCTGCGGACTCATATTGGTAAGCGGCACCCCGAACAAAGTATCGCACAAATCCATGCCTCCTATGCTGATAGGGCTAAGAGACGTGACAATCATGTGAAATTCGCTCTCAATGGCAGACCCCAATGTAAGCAATGTCATAAGAAATTTTCCGGGTGGCCAGCTTTTATGACCCATTTTAATCAGCGAGCATGCCCTGTTTTGCACGCACCGCAGCAGGAAACTTCCAATGCAGATTCTTCAGACGGTGTTGCCCTTGCTCATGGGGCGTTCGCGCCGGAGGGCACACCTTGCACAGCCTCTGCCGAGGAACCTGTCCCAGTGTTCCACCAAGAAGACACAGCTGTAGTAGCCAAAACAGGCAACCTCAGCCTTCTTGCCAAACACATTCGGGAGTGCGGTTACTCTGATAGGTGTCCGGAGTGTGGTGTTCAATGCAAGCCCATGTATATTGCTAGACATGCCTGCAAACAACATTCATGGATCCAACAGGCGCAAGCTCAAGTAGTGGAGTGGGTTAGGAACTGCCAAATCCCTAGCAATCCCTGCCAGTGGTGCGGCTCTCGGTATCAGACCAGCAACAAAGCACACCGCAATGCCTGTCCCACTCTCTGGGCCTGTGGTCAACTGTTACTAAAGTATGCTCAGCTCACACCCCAAGGTCAAGGTTCTTTGTATGGCTACGGTTGGCAACGACGAGCTCCAGCGAGCAGCGGAGGAACTGAGCAGCTTTGCAAGCTTCATGACTCCGCTCGCGACGCCAACTCAGACCACTGCACCGAGCCTGGCATCGACGGAGATGCCTGTGGACCAGAGCTCCAAAAGGGATGGCGAGGACGAGCCGGGCCCCGAGGAGAGCCGAGCCAAGTGGCACAGGGGCCAAGGGAAGGGAGCTCAGCAGAATCAACGGGCCAAGGGACGCCCCCAACAACAATCCTGGTGGGAGAAAGAAAAGTCGGACAAGTACGACAACAAGAGCAACTCCAAGCACGACGACCTGAAACAGGCCGTCAAGGCACTGGGCCGCCTTGTACTTCGCCAGGAGGATTCTTTGGCCGTTATGCAACTGGACTGCCAGTTCATCATCTTCATGAAGAACACGGCATCGGAGTCCAGTTCCAAGCAGATCCCAGATTGGATCGTTACGAAGCAGATGCTCACAGTGGGGAACCACTGGCGGGATCGCAAGGCCAAGGACCCGAAGAGTCTGGGCCAACCGTTGAGGACGGTGCTTTTCAGCTCCTGGTTGACGGCTATGAAGTTCCGCATCGACGACTTCCAGGCCAATCCGTCTCAGAAGGAGGTGGCAGTCCAGATGGGCATACTGGGCGAGGATGGGTTCCCGTATCTGCAATGGGATCCAGAGACATCCAAACACGTCAAGATCCAGCAGGAGCCCTTGTCCATAGAAGCTGCCCTCCAGATTCTGCAGCAGCTGCAGACCTTGATCGTTCACCCCAACGTGATAGGCCGCTTCCACCCGTTGCGGAAGCTTACGGAGAACATGGTTTCGGATGTGATCCCTTGGACTATAGAAATCCAAAACCGAACTCAGGAAGCGCAGGCAGCTTATTCCTTGATAGGAAGGTTGATCCGCAGCGGCTGCACGCACTTGGCGGCGTCCACCTTGAGACCCTGCAAGCTGGGCCGATCTCCTCTGGCCACGGCAGTGGACAAGATGATTCAGGAGTTGTAAGGCCAGTCTCAGCCAACATCCTCAGCCTGCAATTAACTAATCCACATCAGCATAGCTATGCCCATGCCATCCTTTACGTCATCTTGTGGACTGCCAGCAACATGCAGGAAGGCCTCCGCATATGGCGTCAAGACTTGAAGAAGTTCTTGCAATGGCTCTCCAATCAGTCCAAACCTCAGCCCATATGGCAGAACTTAGCCTGGCAAGCTCTCACCAAGTCTTGGAGTACTCCCCTCAGGCACCACGATCCTGAGCTTTTTATGCAGTTTCTGCAGCCGATGATTTTCACTCCAGGTGAAGGCATCTGGCAGTCACGAACCATCGATAGCTCCACTCATGAACCTGTTTGCCAGGTATCGCAAAGCGGACATGTGTGGCCGATATCATTGCCTGCAGCATCGGACCCAGATGCCCCGTTCACACTTCAGCAGTTGGTTACGCAATGGCACTTCCAAACTCAGGTTCATGGGCTGAGCTCCTTATCGCCAGCACTGGCCCTGCGAATCCCTAGGGTTGCCAATAGGGGTACTAGCCACCACCTTGCCCTTAAGGACGAATGGCAGTTAACTATCCCATTCTTTCCCAATGAGGGTCTGGAGACGCATCACATCCCCTATGAGGTCTGTGCTATAGTGCTGGATGAGGAAGGCACAGCAACACAGGGCCAATACTGTGCGGTCCTGCTGGAGGAAGGTGCACTGAAATACCTAACTTCAGACGGTAAGCGTGCTGTTAAAGTTAAAGCTAAGGAGCGCCCCCAGATTTTTCGGAGAGCATACATTGCTGTCCTTAAGCAATCAGTGACTTCTCGAAGCAGCTTTTAAGGAAGCGAATATCGCTTCATGAGATTCGGCAAAGCCGATGAAACTTCAGCTCGCGATAACCTAGATACATGGCTGCAATATTTGACCTGCGTTTTACTCTGAGCTGAAGTTGATAGCCCGCTTGAGGGGCCTACCGGGCCGGGGCTAGCAGCATGACCCATAAATCATATGGCGTCAATACGCATCGCAAGACTCTTTGCGGCGGAGGAAGAAAAAGATAGATGGCAACGAAGCAGCAGGTGAGGCCTGAATCTGCTACACATCAGCTGGTCTTGCAAGGCACTGCGCCTGGCAATGGGTCTGTGGCGTCCTGGGGCGCTGCTGACCAGAACGGTGACAGCGGTGCTGTGCAAGATCGGTTGAGGAAGGTGCGACAGACTCGAACATGTCAGTGCTTGCGGTGGCAGCTGCAATCAAGTGCAAGATCAGCTGGGGAAGGTGCAGCGGATTCAATCCTTTGATGATGCCTTCGCTACCACCCCTGGAAAGGGGTCTGTAGCGACCTGGGGCAATGCTGACCCTAGTTGATGACAGCAGCGTTGGCCAGGATCGGCTGCGGTGCTTCTGGGGGTATCCGTGGCGATGGGTTTATCGTGACCTGCGGCCACCATTTGGACGCAGCTTTTCAGGTTCAGCGGGGAATGCAGAGTCATTTATGTTCTCCGGCAGGATAGGTTCGCATTGATTGCTCACTTGCTTCGACGCGACTTTGCCAGCATCATCAGAGGACCCGGCCTTCTATGTGCTGTCTTCACGGGTGGACCATATAACAAGGCGTCAGAACCTTTGTCTTTTAATCTTTGATTACCAAGGTGCCTCTTATGTGTGTTCTGATGCGTAGGAAGAAGGATGTGATCCGCAGGGGACGAGGAATCCCCTCAGCTGGCGGCATTTAGGATTTCAGCTTGGAGAATGGTCTCCATGTCAATTGGTCAGAGATTGACCTTTCAGATTCTTGAAGAGATCAGGGCCAGAGCCAAGGCTTTTGGCATGTGGGCAAGGTGCACTTTGGGAGAGACTCTGGCGCTAGGGCCAGACTTGTCCTTGTCTTCGCTGGTGGATGATCAATACCATCACCTCAGCCAATCCAGAGGTATGCAGCCACATATCTGACATGTGCATTGATGCGCTACGGGCCGTGCGTTCCAAAACAGCTCATTTGAGTCCCGTTGCCACCAGCATGTATTCCCTACCTACCTTGACCCTCCTTTTGTGTATAGTATAGTCATCCAGACTTGATCGCTTTGGGCTTGCAGGCTACAAGCGTTCAATTGCGTCTGACGTTCGTTTGAAACTCGTTGGGGATTCTGTGTCAGCTGAAAGTGCCGGTTTGTATGGTGTGGATCCGAAAAGCGGTTAATTACGTCTTACTTTTGTTTGAGATTTCTTGGGGCCTGTATGTCAGCTGAAAGTCAGGGTTTGTATGGTGCGGATCCGAAAAGCCTTTAATTGCATCTTACGTTCGTCTCAATTTCTTGGGTCCTCTATGTCAGCTGAAAATGCGGGTTTGGATGGTGTGGATCCGAAAAAGCGTTTAGTGGCGTTTGGCTTTCATTTCACTTTCTTGGGGCGTCTATTTCAGCTGAAAGTGCCGGTTTGTATGGTGTGGATCCGAAAAGCGTTCAATTGCATCTTACGTTCGTCTCACTTTCTTGATGCTTCTATGTCAGCTGAAAATGAGGGTTTGTATGGTGTATGGTATGGATCCGAAATGCGTTTAATTACGTCTTATTTTTGTTTCAGATTTCTTGGGGCCTGTATGTCAGCTGAAAATGAGGTTTTGCATGGTGCGGATGCGAAAAGCGTTTAATTGCATCTTACGTTCGTCTCAATTTCTTGGGTCCTCTATGTCAGCTGAAAATGAGGGGGTTGTATGGTGTATATTCGAAAAGCGATTAATTGTATTTTACTTTCGTCTCAGCTTCTTGGGACCTCTATGTCAGCTGAAAATCAGAGTTGTATGGTGTGGATCCGAAAAGCGTTGAATTTCGTCTTACGTTCGTTTGAAATTTCTTGGAGCCTCTATGCCAGCTGAGTGTATCCGAAAAGCGATTAATTGCGCCTCATTTTCGTTTCAGCTTCTTGGGGCCTCTATGTCAGCTGAAAGTGCCGGTTTGTATGGTGTGGATCCGAAAAGCGGTTAATTACGTCTTATTTTTGTTTCAGATTTCTTGGGGCCTGTATGTCAGCTGAAAGTCAGGGTTTGTATGGTGCGGATCCGAAAAGCCTTTAATTGCATCTTACGTTCGTCTCAATTTCTTGGGGCCTCTATGTGAGCTGAAAATGAGGGTTTGGATGGTGTGGATCCGAAAAGTGGTACAGGCAATAGCCAGGCTACACCGTATAAGCCATAGCCGAATCTTACTGTATAAGCCAGTTTTAGCCATAGGCGGGGCTTACCGTATAGGCCATAGCCAAATTTTTCCGTAACAGCCATAAGCCCTCTTTGAGCCAGTATTTGCGCCCGTTGCGCTGTGGATCACTTTGCGCCTTTGGTAATCATGCTTGGTTCATTTCAAGCTTTTTGAGGCCCAATCTTATGGTATAAGCCATAGGCACTTTTTCGGTATAAGCCATGTGCATTTTTTTCCGGTATAAGCTGTAGGCCCCCTTTGAACAAGTATTTGGCTAGGGCGCCCGCTGCGCTGGTGTACCCTAAACTCGGGTTTAGCTAAACCTTAAATTCGGGTTTAGCTAATCCCTGAATTCGGGTTTAGCAAAACCCTAGACTGGGGTTCAGGCAAACCCTAGATTCGGGTTCAGCCAAGCCCTAAACGGGCGTGTTTAGCTAAACCTCAAATTCGGGCTTAGCTAGACCTTAAGCTCGCGGCTTTAACTAACCTTAAATTCAGGAGTAGCTAAATCCTAAATTGGGGTGCAGCCAGACCCTAGCTTTGGGATTAGCTGAACTTTAAAGTCAGGCTTAATTCAACCCTAAATTGAGGTTCAGCTAAGCCTTAAATTCGGGTTCAGCTAAACCCTAAGTTCAGGGTTAGCTGAATTTTAGGTTCGGGGTTAGTCAAGCCTCAAATTCGGGCTTAGCTACACCCGAAACTTGCGGGTTTCACTAAACGGCATAAATTCGGGCTTCACGGAGCCTGAAATTCAGGTTCAGCTAAACCCTGCATTCGGGCTCTAAACTCACGGGCTTAGCTGAAACCGTAAGTTCGGGTTTAGCTGCTAACCCAAAGTTCGAGTTTAGCCAAACCTTGAGTTCGGGATTAACTAAACCTTAAAGCAGTTTTAGCTAAACCCTAAATTCCGGCATAATCAAACCAATAAAGGTTTAGCCAAGCCTTAAGTTAGGGATTAGCTTAACCCTAAAATTGGGGTTTAGCTGAACCCTAAATTCGAGGACGCTAATTTAGGGTTTAGCCAAGCCATAATTTGGGGTTTAGCTAAACCCTAACTGATGGTTCAGTGAAACCCTAGGTTAAGGTTTAGCTAAACCATAAATCAGGCTTAGCTAAACCCGAAAAGAAAATAGGTTTTTGAAAAAGACGGATGGCAAAAAGGTCCATGCGATCAGTTCACTTAAACCCGTCAATGGAAAGCGGACGCCGAATCTTGTTGTGTTTCTTTTTCCCCTCGAACGAATATGAAGATATCTAATTAGATTTCTTGGAAATCTTGAATAGCGGGATTTCTCAATGAAAGAAATCTGTCCGCATGCAGGCGTGCAGACCCAGGGCGTTAAGCTTGCGGGAGGAGGGGTAGCGATGGACGGGCGCCTCCCTCCCCTTGCACTTGCGGAGTTTTTGCATATTGTAGTAGGCGTATTTTCTTATTTGTGTTGGCTGGAGAAACTTCTGCGTCCTGTTCGTACCAGGGGTGAGCGACGTAAAGATCGCCGTCGCGAAAAGAGGATTTGCGGAATTATCTTGATAATTCTGATGCTTCTCGGGGTTTGTGCTCGTAGGGAAGCACTTCTGAGACCCCCGGCCGCCGCTTGGGATGCTGGGAGATTAGATCGGCAGGGTAAATCCAGGAGTAGTCGCATTCGCCCAATATGTGGCGGCAATTGCATCCAGCCTCATCATTTGTTGTATTTGCTTCACCTGCGTTCATGTGCATCTTCAGCTTGGGGGCTGGTCGCTAGGGATTCTTGCCCCCTGCAGCCCGCTGATTGGAGCAGTGACATGGGAATTGGGAGCCGTATTGCAGTTCTGGTGCAGG